TGTTACCAAAATTCTTCTTTTAAATGAGTACTTGTCCACTGCTCTAGCCATAGAAAATAAAAGACAATGGGGCGCCTGGGTGGCTCAGTCGGTTAAGCAGCCGACTTCGGCTCAGGTCATGATCTCACGGTCCGTGAGTTCGAGCCCCGCGTTGGGCTCTGTGCTGACAGCTCAGAGCCTGGAGCCTGTTTCAGATTCTGTGTCTCCCTCTCTCTCTGCCCCTCCCCTGTTCATGCTCTGTCTCTCTCTGTCTCAAAAATAAATAAACATTAAAAAAAAATTAAAAAAAAAAAGAAAAGAAAAGACCATAACCATGACAAGTTATTTAATACTGATATTGAACTATTCCTGTAAACCATACATGCTAGAAAGAATTTTTATTTTTTCAATTTCCCTCATTGACTTTTTTCCCTAATATTAAAAGCATATATATCTTCATTGTTTAAGCTGATGAGAATCTATTGTTTTATTTAAACCCCATTTTAGGGTTTCTGGGACTCAGAGAGGATAATTGATTTGTCTAAAATAACATAGCTAATGTATAGAGCATAGTATGGTTAAGATGTGATGTTTCTGGTCCCCTAACCCATTATTTTCTATATGGGTCATTTTCTGTATTTTCAAATATTTCCCATTAATCCCTAGGGTCTTTTGGGATGCTTGGGTGGCTCATTCGCTTAAGTGCCCAGCTCTTGATTTTGGCTCACATCATGATCTCATGGTCTATGAGACCAAGCCCCTGTTGGGCTCTGTGCTGAGAGTGCACAGCCTGCTTGGGATTCTCTCTCTTCCGCTCTCTCTGCTCCTCCCCCACTCTCACACATGTGTGCAGTTTGCATACTCTCTCTCCCTCCCTTTCTCTCTCCCAAAGGAAATAAATAAACATTAAAAAAAGTCCCTATGGTCTTTTGCCATTCAGAACATACAGATCTTTGCTGACTACTTCTAATCGAGTCATTGCTCACATCTCTTTAGATATTACTTGGCTTTCCTTGTTGATTCCCACCACTGCCTGGTGTCATGCACAAATAATACAATGTGTTGTTTTCTACTATGCAAGTCAGTTGAAAAAGCCACAGAGCCCAAGACCAGCTGCCAAATTGCCCAAGTGAATATTAGCATATTAATAATAGTTCTTTGAAGGCTGGATTTTAGTATGATTTATTTGATCCCAACAAACTATGTGATCTAAAAGTTTATTTTCTTCTACAGATGAGATATAATTCATTCGGGTCCTCTTTCAACTCAACATAGGATCAGAAGATTTTTCAAGTAAAAACAGACTTTACCTAATGTTTCCCCTTGATATCAGTAAACCTGCATAATTGTCTAAGATTTGATTAGCCAGGTGGGAATCATCTTTCCAAAAGAAATCTAGTTGTTATCCAATTGCTAGCTTTATTCAAGAGAGAAAGCATATAGGTCATCTTGTTTGGTCCTTTTTTATATGCCCTCAAGCCTTTTTATTTGGACTAATTTGTAGTAATTAATATGTTTGCACCCTCTGAGATTAACCCTCTGAGATTACTCAGAGCATTTCAGAATTTTGGCAAGTATTTCTTTAAATGTGTTTATTTTTCTTTTGTTTTTGTTTTGTTTCTGATAGAAAAAAGGCAGGGGAGAGAAGACCAGTGAATCGTGTCAGTTTCAGACCAGCATTTAGATAGTATTGAAGGGCAATAAAGTAAAAGTGTTGTACTGGATATGTGTTCAAGAACACTGATCTTATAGTGGGGCGGTGCGGGGGCTGGGGTGGGGGACATGAGGTGTTCTTCTTACGTACAAATTCTTGAATAATCTGTTTTTTATTGAAACCAATTGGGACTAAGAGTCTAAGTTTGGGAACAATTATCACTTTTGCCAATCAGCATTTTTTTCTGCTTCCCCAAACTCAATTTCTTGAGTTTTACCGTTTTTGGCATCTTCCCATTTATCCCTTTTCTACCTGATATCAAACTGTGCTTGATTTGTTTCAGCTGCCTCTTTTTAGAAAAGATTAATTATAAGGACTTTGGGAATCAAAATATTACCTGTTTGAGTAATATTGGCACATTTGAAAAGATGCTTTTAAGAAGAGAAAGATTTGACCCAAGGAACAGAATTGCAAATCATTGAATTTTAGACGTGACAATGCAGAGGGGACAACCAGGGAATAGTGGCATTGGAAGGAACAGGACTAGAGGAATCTTCTCAGTGTACCAACATTTGTGCTTTATAACATTTGGCTGATTCTTTCTCCTCCTGTATACCTGAATAGATTGAATTTAAAATGTTGAGAACTATTCTATTGTTTGTTTTGTTTTGTTTTTTAAAAGTTATTTATTTATTTATTTATTTATTTATTTATTTGAGACAGAAACAGACAGGGGGGAGGGGGAGAGAGAGAGAGAGAGAGAGAGAGAGAGAGAGAGAGAGAGACCCAAGCAGGCTCCACACTGTCAGCACAGAGGCCAATGTGAGAACATGACCTGAACCAAAATCAAGAGTCAGAGACTGAACCAACTGAGCCACCCAGGCACCCCTTTTAAGAACTATTTTTAAATTCAACTCATTCTTCTGATGTTTCAGTATATGACCTAGACTCCTAGCCACATAATGATTTATATGTATCTCTATACATAAGAGCGGAATATAAACTTTTCTTTACTATAGGATCAATTTTCATATGGAATTATATGGTAATTATTTGCCATGTAACCACTGTGTTTTTATATAGTGCTACATATTTACCATATAACCACTTAGGTTTTGTAATATCCCCCTTACCTCAGTTCCTTAAAGTCTTCTGAATTCATTGTCAGTGAGGGTTTTTAAAATGTGCCAGTGTTACCATTTTGATGTACATCCTATTTTAAGGTGTTTTAATTAAAGGCACACCACACATTCTCCAGTTTCTCTAGTCATGTTTCATTTTCCTGTTCACATGTCTGGGAATCGGCTATGCAAAGGATCACAAAAACAAGACAGTTTACACTGTTAACTTCCACTCTCTGCCACTGACATGCTCTTGAGAAATATTGTAAATTCCATTTTGGGTAACTAATTACATAATTTTATTATACTGCATGTTCTAGTGGTAGATGGTTAGAGGTTACTTACTGTAAAAACTGATGGTAACTTTCCTACCCATCATTTGCTAATTTTAGCCTCTTGGTAAGATGGCACAAGGTTCATAGCCCAACATAGAACATTTGAAGTCACTTAACATTTCATCCTTTTTCTACTCCGATTGCCTTCACTTTGCTTTTTCTTCTTAAAAGACTTTGCTTCAGAATGGAAAACTCTGTCTAAACTATGTAGCATTATTACCTTATACACCATTAAATCAAAACCTGAGAGGTGATCCATGCCTAGTACATTCCCCAAAGATAGTACAGTAAAGTCTTCATTGACTGCAGACTATCAGATCATGCTGATGGAATGTGGGGTTTGTTTTTTTTTTAATGTAACTGTCTTCTATTTTAATGGCTACATTTACTATGAACGGTCTGTTTAGCTGGTGTCCTTGGTGCCCCTGTTCTCAGCTGAATATATACAGCAGACTGTCTCAGCAAAAGAAATCCAGAACATAGAAATTAGCTGAAAATGCCAATTTCACACATATTGGATCAGGTTCTACATTTTTAAATATATAATTTATCTCAACTTAGAACTATATAATCCTGTAGAACTAGAGTTGATACCAACTATTTTGTTTCCAATCTCCTTGCTGTGTTTGTACTAATTGACAATTAAAAATATTATTTCTACTAAGTCATGTACAGCCTTTGATGAATAGGAGCTCCAAGGCCACTAACTTGAAAGAATTTTTCTCTAGTATGTATAAATGTAATACTGTGAGAGATGTTGTAGAGATAAAGCATGTACTACATTAAGAATTTGAATACCCTAATGGTTGTTGGTGGGAACATTAGTTGGACCCTTTACCTATAATACAATTGTCTTAAATAGTTGATTATTTATTGTGTCAATAGCTGTTATGCAGTATACGGGTTCATTTGAACAGTTCATGACTGTGTTCCTCAGAAAATGAGGTAAATAATTATAAATAAACCTGACCAAATTTTATGAAATCCAATAGATGCTTTCCTTAAAACTGTTTTGGAACCAAATTATCCTCAGAGCAATGACGGAAAGTGCTAGAAAAGTTGTAAACCTTTCATTGTATGCTTTTTCTTTTCATAAAATCACCCAATTCCTCAATTGGAAGTAGTTTAGTATTTCATGTGGTTTAGATTAAGCATTATATTTTCCTTGACAATAATTTTGTTTGTAATGCCATGTTCTCCATGAATTCAAATCATGCACTGCATGCTTTTAAATGACTTGATGTCTTTGCAGATCTAATTTTGGTGTATTTGTATCTCAAATAATTCGCCAACTCAATATTTTGGCTTAGCAATCCAAATCAAATTGTGGTCCAAGTAGCAGGCACTCACATTGAATGTACAGAGACTTGACAAGCAATTAGCAATGAATATTTAAACGTCTTCATTACCCTTGCATGAGGAATGCAGATGGCATTTAGGGAGATGGCAACCAGAGGGCACTACTGTGAATTATGTTTCTATCAGTTGGTCACCTGACTATTGGAAGACTTTCTCTGGGCCCCATGCCACTCCTATACTTCTACTGTCTGGCTAAAAATAGAGCGTTCCAAATGGTGCAAAACAGGTTGCTTTTCATGAAATTACTCTGCACATTTTACCATTCAGGAAGATTGTCTCCAGGGATCCCAGCATATACCCTTTAGGCATACCAAACCCAAATGCCAAGACTATCTAGGGGATTCTAAGAATCAGAGTTCCTTCAAAAACCCTGCTCATCAATTGCTTCAGTTATCTCAGCAGAATGTGCTGAATGTGCAAAGGTGAATAAATCAATATCCCGTCCCTCCCAGGAGTTAATGTATTATATATGGCCCAAGAAAAAAATGTCTTTGAATAATTATAATTTCCAGACTGAGATCTCATTATAAATTTCTTTTTTTTTTTTTTAAGGAAAAAACAACACTGGAGAGTCTGACTCAGCAACTGGCAGTTAAACAGAATGAAGAAGGAAAATTTAGCCATGCCATGATGGATTTCAATATGAGTGGAGATTCTGATGGTTTGTGAAAATTATTCATATATATACCAATAGTGTGCAGAAGTGTCTATTTAGCGTCAATTAAAACTACTAAAAAGTATGTAAGACAGCCGCCTAATACCTGATCGTTACAATAAGAGCTCATGTGTACTGAACAGTTCCCATGTGCCAAACAATCTGCTGAGTGTTCTGCACAAATCATCTCATTAATTTCTAGCACAACCTGTGAAGTAAATACTATTGCAAATAAAGAGATTGGCCCCTGGGAATTTTGAATCATTTTTTCCCCCAACATAACAAGGCTGTAAGTACCAGAGGCAGATCCTGGATTCAAGATGGCACAATTCTATTTTTTTTATTTTTATGTTTTTTAACATTTTATTTATTTTTGAGACAGGGAGAGACAGAGCATGAACAGGGGAGGGTCAGAGAGAGGGAGACACAGAATCCGAAACAGGCTCCAGGCTCTGAGCTGGCAGCACAGAGCCCGACGCGGGGCTCAAACTCACGGACCAGACCGTGAGATCATGACCTGAGCCGAAGTCGGCCGCTTAACCGACTGAGCCACCCAGGCGCCCCCAAGATGGCACAATTCTAAAGCAAATACTCACAGTCACTGTCTAATCTATCTCTCACTTCCCTATTTCTTTTCAGCAAACTTTTCAGAAATTTGTATCTATCTGCTCATTTTCAAGTTGTCATTTGTAAGATTCTGACCAGAATACAAGGTTCAGTGGACATCTTCAGGATTTTCTTTCTTTTTTTTTTTTTTTTTTTTTTTTTCATTTTGTAACGCTTCCCTCTTATACTGTCTATTGTACAGTCCGGTGTCATCCCTACCCTTCATAACCCAACTAGAACGCCAGCTACACAGCCTCATGCTTTCCTCACATGCCTTCTTGTTGTCTGCATCATTTCCGAACATTCTAAAATCCAAAATGACAACTAATGAAATTGATACCCTAATTTTAATCGCACAGCAAAGAAAGAAAAAGAAGAAAGTGTTATTCCTCTCACCTTGAGCCCCAGCTAGGAACCTCTCTCCACTGTCAAGTACCAAACACACATTTTAAGAGCACTGTCCTCAAATGTGTTACTATTGAAGAGGAAGTTCCCTGCATGTAGAAAAGTCTGCACCAGAGCAAACCATTAGGAAGCATACTTTAGGACAGAGGGGATTGCCTTGAATTCCCCAACATACTTAGTTGTCTCCTCTGTACCTTGGTCCCCAATTCTGCTTTTAAGTCCAGTTCTGCACCAGCTACAAAAGTAGCCAAACTTGACCAGGTAGCCAGATAATTTTATCAAAACGAATCTTATTCAATTGGATATCCAACAAAAGTCAGTGTTGTCCTAGCCTGTTGGATCCAATCATTTCCTGCTATTTTCCACATCACTTGGTTAAGATAAACCTAGCCTAAGTACATATAAAGAGCTTGTTTAGCTGTGATGAAGTTACACTATGTTCATTTTATTGCTTATGTTGCTGTAAGGTGTAAGAACAAGAAAAAGCAGATGTGCAAATGATCATTTGCTAGTTACAAACCCATTTTAGGAAGATGTTGCCATATATTAGCACTCATTTATGTCAATAAAAAAGACAATGACTGGTAATAAGACATTTCATAAATTTTAAGTTGTACTAGCATGATAAAATATAAGCATAGTAATCAGCATTAAAACATCAACAATTTTGTTGCTGTTATTTGTTAAATTCGGTCATGCTTGTGTATGCAAAATATTTTCCAATCTTCATCAGACCAAAGAGCATACTATGAATGAGAAATAATGAGAAACTCCACCAACAGGTATGCTGTGTTTTTGTTTGCTGCTATAGATGTCTTCAAGTCTGGGTAATTCTGGTTGATTCCTATTCCTTCTAATTGAGAAAAGAAAGGAAGAGGAGTATGAAGAAAGAAGAAAAAAGCAGTGCTTTGATTAATGATACAAGCTCTAGAAATCCCCAAATTATTTAAACATTTTATATGCTACCAAAATACATCTCTTCCATATTTTCTAAAGATAACCCTGTAATACTTAGTATCACAGTTCTGTGTTTTCTTATGCTTCTCCTGATTTTCTTTGCCTAAACTCAAGTATCTCTGGAAGCTGTTTAGTCTGGTGAAACTATTCTATAAAGTCATGCAAAGCCGGGAGGAATGAATGCAGCTCCCAAAGTTTCTACCCAGACTCAGTCGTGTTCTATTGTCATAAGTCTTGAAGGGAACTTTCAGGGGGTCTCCAGATGAGTTTAGATGTTAGGGAGAAAATTCAGGGGAATGAATTTTTTTTTCACCTTAAATATGTGGCTGTAGACTTCTTAAGAAACCACAGTTGTGTACCTGTTCATTGTTTTTTCCCTACCATTTTCAAATATCTTCTGGGGAGCAGGCTATCATGGATGCATCAGCATCTTTCATGCATTTATCAGCACAAAATTGCAAAGAAATGCCAAACACATTACAGAAGATTATCTATATTGTATTTTCACCCCAAAGTTTTATTTAGCAGCATTTTATTTCTATAACCTCAGAGAGAGGAAAAGGGCATGACTACTCTGTGTTCTGACCGTCTTTAGGTAGCAGAGACACAACCTCACTTGTAGTCCATTGTGCCAAATGTGCTAGTGTTTCACAATTTTCTTAGGTTCTTCACCCATTTAATATTTACACAGTGCCAGCATGCCTACCGGTATACTCCAACTGTTCTCTTTCCATTTTGCCTCAAAGATCACGTATTCAGGTTTCTCGTGTCCTTTTGAAAGTTAATGGTGAAACAGTCCACAGTCCATTGAAGAAAAAAAAAAAAGGAAAAATATATTAGAAATGGAATGAAAATGCAGATACAACAATTGCCACTACAAGGCTTAATCAGAAACTTCATAAACAAGCATCTGTGTCAAGAACTGAAAATACTATTAGCAGATATACTTGTTATATTCATATTTAATATACTAGAATAGATATTTTACAGACAAATATTCGATAGTAATGCAAAGAAGAGAATTGCCAAAAGTCTTAACACTAACATGAAGCAATGTTCCCTATTTTTAGGAAGTGCTGGAGTCTCGGAGTCAAGAATTTATAGAGAATCCAGAGGGCGTGGTAGCAATGAACCCCACATAAAGCGTCCAATGAATGCCTTCATGGTGTGGGCTAAAGATGAGCGAAGGAAAATCCTTCAAGCCTTTCCTGACATGCACAACTCCAACATCAGCAAGATATTGGGTAAGAAACTTATTGATGGTTACATGATGTATGGAATAAATGTACAATTCTGTTTTATGCAGTTGTTGAAAGGTACTGGCTTTGGAGGCCAGGCAGCTCATGTTATCTACTTCTCTAAAAAGAAGCACCATTACTGAGCCTTTTCTTCTGACGACAGAGCACTTCATGTTTGTTGAGAAATGGGCCCAGTTTTTATAGCTAATTTAGTTGTTTTATAGCTAATTTAAATTAGCTGCTAATATAGCAGCTATATTAACTGTGGCAATATTTTTTCTTCTTTAAAATCTAGAAATTTTTGTACTAAGTTCTTAGTTCTTTTTGTATGAACTACGTAATAATGGTATTGACCGTATTCATTCTTTTCCTTTGAACTACAGAATTCTTCATGTGCTGGGGATAGAAGCATAGGGATGGTTGTTCTGGTACTATCATTGAAAATCAGTTTAGAATGTCAGAGGACACGAGAACATGTGGTGTGTGCAGTTTTTAATTTTCACTTTTAGTAGCCTTGAGCCCATTTTCAGCATCATGTAAAAAGGGACTTTCCCTACCATTGCAGCTTTCAACTTAAGAGATGATAAAGTACATATTTGCCTTACATGCATAGACACTAAAGCACACAGAAAATATGGGCGAGAGGTAAGAGTATTATAAAGAGACTTACTGTATACCAGTTTAAGTCCCAGAAAAAGGAACGAAGATTCCATTTTGTGTGTGCTGTTCACTTGACACCATCATCACTGTTATTGTCATCGTCCTCATCTTCGTCACGCTCATCTTCCAGATAGCCAGCTACCAGATGAGCTAAGCAAATTTTGACTATTTACTCTCTGACTGCTAGGAGCTAAACAACAAAAACAGAATAGGAATACCTAGCTCGATCAGTAAATTTGGGCTTCAACAAATAAGTGACATTCCTCTGTGTTACTAAAGCTTTACTAAAATCCATAATGCACTTGGAATTACATGTACTTAACGCAGATAAGTGCTCCTTTTGATCCTTTACATTAAGGAACTGGTCATCTAAAAGTGGTTACTAAACATATACATGTGTTTTTATGCTCCCATATTCTCAAATTCTCATGTTACTGGGTGGTAATAGATGCCATCCAGTTCACAGCATGCATTTGTAGTGAGACCAAAACAAACAAACAAAAAACCATCAACCACTTGAACTTATGTCTCAGTTTTCATCTAAAATAATCTTGAAATCTTTAGATTAATGTCATCTCAAAAGATAAGAGTATGTAAAGCTTTAGGTATATAGAAAATGGGAATATTTATGGAGATATATATATATATGTATATATATATTCAAAAAATTAAACTGATCAAAAGGAAATGCATATTTTTTATGCTGCTACCATCTCTGACCTGTTTTTTTCTTTTTATGACCATATTTTACCTTCCATATGAAATTTTCCATTTTTAAAAAATGTATCTGTTCCATTGGGGAAAACTCTAGAAATGAATAAAATATTCCATATTTTAACATATCAGTTATCACAAAATTAGCCCAAAATGTCAAAATGAAAAAATGAACTAAATACTGAGATTATTTAAACTGTCTTTATATCATTCAATTCATGTGTATGAATACTGGAAAATGTTAATCACTGATTCAAACTTTATCCTAAGTATAAGAGAAATATCAGCTTTGATGATGTGAAATACTTTAGAAGATGTAGGAAAAGACTTTATGGGAAAGAGGTGGCTAGCTACAAGAGTTTCTTTCTGGTTTGAAGGAAAGAATATTAGGATGACCATATAGTTAAATCACAATAGGTTACATGAAAAAAGAGTGCTGTCTAATTTTGGACTTTTCAATAGAATTGTATTAATTAAAGATATCCAGGAAAAAAAAACCACTGAGGTGTTTGGGACCTCAATATTTGGTCTTAGCTTCAAATAAATAAGTGATCTTCAAATATCCACAAGATCATTCTAAGTGGCCCATTTCATACAAAAGTACAAAGAAAGCTTGATGTTTTCCTCTCTACTGATTGTTTTGGATAACAGCCTCCGACAGCATGCCACTAATTCATTCTGCTTAAAACAGGCGCTTGAGCTGGGTTGACATTTTACGTAGTCTCTGGGGATCCTAGTTGACATTTTAAAGGGCTTCTAAGCATTTTATAATACCCTAAAATCTGGTTTTAATAAGCCATTCTGCTGAAATTGTTAACATAAGGAATCACCTTTTACTGTTTGGCGCTAGATCAGGGGATGGGGGACATCTTTTTCTGATTAGATATACAGTAGTTGGAGTAAAATGTGCAAATTCATTACAGACCCCATGGAGATGACGATGCTACTCAGCTCAAACTCTTCATTTTTCTCACATCGCCAGATTTAGAAAGGAAAAGAGCACTTTCAAGACTTTTATGAACATCATATTTTTTTTATTGAATCTTCCTCTTTGTCATCAGGAGGAATACCCAAAAGTCCTTCTCTGTTTTTTTTTTTGTTTGTTTGTTTGTTTTTCATTGTAAAAGGCTAGGCTTTTGCGAAAAAGCGGAGAACTTACTCCCTGTACGTGGTCCAGGGTAAGCAACCAGCCACATCTTAAATCAAGTAGATGTTTCCGTCTCTTTTGGAGATACCTAAAATGCTTTCCTACCATTCACATCCAGCGTGTCTCAATGTTTACATCGTAGCTACGTACAGTGGATGTTGTACCTGAAAAGCCATTAAAACCAACACCAAACTTGTCATTTAGTTATTCAAAAGTTAGTATTCAAAACTGAAAACTGCAGTAGCCACCAACCAAAACACCATTTGTTCCGCACGGTCATAAAACAGCATAGTTGGCCATTTTACCAACTACAGGCACCACTTTCACTATCTTGATTCTTAATTTTAAGAAGACTTAGAACTATGCTCCGGCCATCTTTTAAAATGTAATTTAGGATTCAGTGATACTTCCGGAGAAATTATATTATCAAGTGTCTAAATATGTTGTGATTCCAGTTCATGCCAGATTTAGAAGCCAGCTTGTCTAAGAATTTACACATCTTTTATTATATATGTATCTGTTTTATCTTTATATAAATATGTATCTTTTATTTATCCTATATATGTGTGTGTGTGTATATATATATATATATATATATATATATATATCCCTTTTTCCTCTGCATTTCAGACAGATCAACTGTCTTTAAGTTCCTCTAATCCTCCTTCCCACTGCAAGGCCTGACCATTCTATTCTTCCTCCATAGAAAGCTCTCCCTCTCTGATTCCTATAGGAATCATTTCCACAAAACCTTCCTGACCTACAAAAGATTGACCCAACTCCTTATGTTTTCATAGCTTCCTGTACTTTCTCCACTTGTAATTAAAATAATAAATTTTTTAAATTAGCTGTTTAATGTATTTCTTCTCCACTGGAATATGAGCCTCAGGAAGATAAGGAACAAAATGATTCACCACTGCGTATCCAGTAATTAATACAGCATGGTGCACATAGTAGGAAATCTAAAAAGAGTTCTCACATTCCAGGGTGGGTTACAGTAAGGCATAAACATTCCCTTTCCTTAGAAAACCATATCCTTTTTGAGCTTATGGAACATTTAGACATTGAGAAGTACCATTAGCAATTTCTATTCTAATTGAGGATGCTAGTTACTTGGTTCTGCCTGGTGATAAAGATAGGGGATTTTAGTGTCAACCATCCTTGGTCATTTTTCAGTGTATTTATATAACTATGAAGTAAATTATTTCTGGTAAGCTCACTTTTACACTCCCTGATCTGAGGTTCAAAATTCTGTTATACATACTTGTAAGAAACTTCCCAAAAAGAATTGACCCCGTTCAATGGTATTATAGCTTTACCTGTATTTATATTTGCCCTGAGAATAACATGATGGTTTCAAATACCTCTAGAGAATAGTGTTGGGCAATAAAGAGTTTGAGATTGTACCTACAAATTTAGGATGTGGCCATTGAAACACAAGTTTGAGAAAGGAATGGAAAAATAAACTCTATGATTTGAACTGTAACCTGGATTTCTATAGTAAATAGAATAAAATCATATTGGTTGTCTAGATTGGAAAAAAATCTGTTTATAAATTTGTGTAACACCTATGTGGATATACCCACCCAGGCAACATCTGTTCTGATAGGAAAAAATTCTAAGGGAAGAGATATTGTCCCTTTTACTCTATTCCTTTAATAAATAAAACAGCCCATATTGAGGACTTTTCTGCATTTGTAGAGAAGAACGGTTCATCAGTGAGCTAGTTGCATTTGAGAAGTGGAATTTTGGTTGAGTAATGAACCCATTTGAAAGCCTGAAGATCTTGCTTAGATGACTTTGGAAGGCAGGTAAAGGCTTCCATGCCTGTAAGTATTTGGTATACAACCCACAATTCCAGTTATTTTGATCCTTGTGCATTTGAGTAGAGTTGAGCTGATTACTTCCTGATAAACACACTTCATCTACACACAGATTCTCCTCACGTGTTTAATACAAAAAAAAAAAATTATTACTTCTACTTCTTTTACTACTATGCATAGCCATACTAATAGAATCAAATATTTAAATCACGTTTATATTGAGAATTAACATAACTGTTTTTAACTGTTGTTTTCTTTTGTTGTTTTTTATGTTTTGTTTTGTTTTTGGTTTTTTTTGCAATCCTAGTTGAGTCCAAACCAAAATCAAAAGTGAAAAGACGGAGAACACCAATTTGGCTTGACATTATTAATGCAAACTATATCACGAGAAGTGACATCTTTATATATTATTGAAAGTGATTTATTAAGAGAAAAATCTTACCCCTTACATACTTATTGTAATTCTGACCTCTGCTAAGTATAGATAGCAGGTGGTTATAGGTATGTAAAAACATACATTGTAGCATACTTTCAATTATATCAAACCTGAGTTTGAGTCACAGATTTGTAATTTAATAATTGTGTGACCTTGGGTGAGTTACTTCGTGTATTTGAACTTCAGTTTTCTCATTTATGGAAATACGTATAAATGCTATCTTACAGGATTATGATGAAAGTTAAAAACGTGACAACTTATGTAAAGTTTTTAGCGCAGTGTCTATCTAGCACCTGGTAGTTAGCTGGTGCATGTTCATTAATATAATTTTTTGTAATTTAAGTTTTAATGAAATGAATTTTTAAATGCAATCATTCATGAAAGCATACTTAAACATTTTGAGAAGAATTATATATGTTAGGAACCCTTGTAGTAAGTAATGCACCCCCACTTAAAAATACTAACTAGATAATTAGCCACAGATTGAAAATATGTAATGTTTTTGCATAATTTTTCAGTTCACAGTTGAATTAGATCATGGTCTAATGTGGAAATAAAAGATGTATTCTTAACATTAGCTGTGAGCTTTTAAGTAAATATATACACTTTTGGCTAAATTGTTCATTCCAGCCAGGAAAAAATATATATATTGGCCAGTGTTTGTACCTTTGGGTACACAGTTTGCTCTACACAGCCACCAACACCCCTGTTCTTGTGAGATCTCACCTCTTGAGTCATAGTTCACTAATCAAACACATTTTTATGTATTTCTGGGCTTTAGCCAACATTTTTATTTTAGATTTATTTTCTTGTCCTTAGCAGCTGTGCAAATTGGAATCCTAACCTTCTTTTCCTCATAGGATCTCGCTGGAAAGCTATGACAAACCTAGAGAAACAGCCATATTATGAGGAGCAAGCCCGTCTCAGCAAACAGCACCTGGAGAAGTACCCTGACTACAAATACAAGCCCAGGCCAAAGCGCACCTGCCTCGTGGATGGCAAAAAGCTGCGCATCGGTGAATACAAGGCAATCATGCGGAATAGGCGGCAGGAAATGCGGCAATACTTCAATGTTGGGTATGGACCTTTCTGTCATTTTTTCATGGGGAACACTTCTTGTTATGCGTAATGGGATGTGAACCATATTCGTTGAGCTGTAAAGCAGCATTTTGAAAAAGAACTTGACCTCAATGTATTTTCAGAAATTAGCCTGGCCCCCCACGTGATCCTGAAAAGAATACATCCATATGAAGCCACCCCGAGTTCCTAGAACAATGGCTCTAGTGTGAGCTTTACTCCTGCTGGCTTGAAGATAAAATATCTGATAGTAAATAATTTTGAAGCTTGTCATTAACAACTTAGAAGTATTATTGGTTCTTTTCTTTGTTGGTTTTCATTACTTCCAAGGCTTCCCATTGACAAATTCTGCAACATCTTTGTTAAGGAAATACAACATAAAAATGATTCCAAAAGAAACACTCACTTTTGAATATGGGGGGGGGGGGTTCTGGGCTATCAAGGCACGTATGTGGCCTTTGTAGATCACACAAAGTGGGGATTCCATTTAGGGCACCACAGGGTTGTGAATGGGAAAGCTGTCTTCCGAACTAAGAGTGTAGTTCTCAAGAGGTTTTACCCTGCCTCCTATGGCAAGGCTGTCTACAGTATCATACTAGGCTAACTGCAACATCATTGCTTCTGCAGAATTTTCTCAGAAAGCACAGAGATAAAGTTGCTTATATCTGGAACATAAGTTAGTAAGATCCCAACAGCTGCTTATAATAATAATAAATACCGTTCTGAAATGGCTGGAAGATACCTTACAGAAAGACTTATAAAGTCTGCTCTATCCTGTTCCCTTGAAAGAGTCTGCCTGCTCTGTCCATTGGCCCATGATTTATATCCCGACGTGCGACTCTTCTCAAAGCCAAGCATGAAACCCAACACTTGCTGAGGAAATAGTAAACATATGAATGAATGAAAGAAGGCAGAAATGAACATTATCTATTAATCTCTTCCCACTAAGACCAGCTACATAATTTGAGGAGCTCCCAGCAAAATGAAAATGTGTGGGGTTCCTATTAAAAAGTTAAGAATTTCAAGACTGTGGCAACAACTTTAAAGCAAGCATAGGATCTTTCATAGCCCAGGGCCCTTTCCAGCTGCAGAGCTGTGCACCCACGAGGCTGACCCTGCTTCCTGTCCCCCCAGCTACTGCAGGGACCAAGTGGACAATGTGATACTGTTCAGTTCCAGTGAGTTCCAAGCAGTCAAGTTTTATTTTGAGAGCTCTCATATTTTAGGGTTTTTTTTTCCCCATTAAAATTGAATTATCTTTATTTCTAAAAAGCTGAGTGTTATAGTGAAGGAAAACTGAACTTGGGGTCAAGGACTGAGGTTCTTCTGCTTAATTTTTCTACACCTCAGGTTTTTTGCATAAGGGAACATAGGAATAAAAATTATTTTGAGGATCAGGTGGGTAACCCATGTAAATGCCTATAAATCATGACACACAAGTAAGTTATTGCAATCACAGTAGGATACCATTTTTTAGATGTTGGGCAATAGATGAAAATCAGTAGTTTAGAACTGGACAAGCTGAGCAGATTCATTATACAGTAAAGCCTGCATCTGACTATCCCTTCACCCACAGTGTATTTTTGGGAATTCCTCTCTGACAGGCAACAAGCACAGATCCCCATCGCCACTGCTGGTGTGGTATACCCTGGAGCCATCGCCATGGCTGGAATGCCCTCCCCTCACCTGCCCTCGGAGCACTCAAGCGTGTCTAGCAGCCCCGAGCCTGGGATGCCCGTTATCCAGAGCACTTATGGTGTGAAAGGAGAGGAGCCACATATCAAAGAAGAGATACAGGCTGAGGACATCAACGGAGAAATTTATGATGAGTTTGATGAGGAAGAAGATGATCCAGATGTAGATTATGGGAGTGACAGTGAAAACCATATTGCAGGACAAGCCAACTGATAAGGGTCAAAAAATGGTTGTGACCTTAGGACTTAAAGAAGCCCTAGCTGGTTCATCCTTACCAGTGGCCAAGCACATTAACTTTCTCATACACTGACTGTTACTTTAACTGTTAGTCTTAAATAGTTGGGACATCAGCTGACTAATAGACCTCAGCCTCAAAAGGCTTGGAAAGGAAAAAAAAAAAAATACAAGCAAACAACAATATCAACAACAAGAGATTGAAATAAGCTATGGGTAAAATAATGCCAGTAATTCAGCTGCTACATCCAAGCACTGAAGTCTTACCCGTCAACTTTTTTTTTTTTTAATAAACTTTATGGCTGTTTGTTCTACAATGTTCTAGAAATTCTCACTCAGGTACACAGTGCCAACAAGTGGCTTGTGAATGTGTTTTGTTGTTTTGTGCTACAATTTTTAAAAAGAAATAAGTTTTGTTTTGTTTTTTGGGGCTTCTGGGTTTTTTCCTTTTCCTTTCCTTTCCTTTTTTTTCCCTTTTTTTTTCTTTTCTTTTTTTTTTTTTTTTTTTTTGTAATGCACCTGACAGAAAAAAAGAAAGATGAATTTCTCTTTACTTCTCTCCACCTTCTCCATCTCTATACTTAAAAGATGGAAGTCTGTGCATGGGGGGGAAGAGGGAAAAAGAGCCTGTTTTTAACTTCCTTGCTATCCACCACAAAATAAGCAATTATTTTCTTCAGAGGACTTTCTTTGTCTATTGCACACCACACTACATCTTTGAGCAAGTGCCAAATTTGTACTGAAGTGTTGACCCAGTTCCTTTTTTTTCCTTTCCTTTTTCCTGTTCCTTCTTAAGTTAGGACAGTGTTATATCTTAGACAATCCCTTGGAAAACCTGAAATACCAGCAGCTGGTGAGATTTGACTTTTTTTTTTTTTTAATGGAAACTGTAGGTGCTGTTCTCAGGTGAAGAGAGAGAGAGAGAGAGAGAGAGAGAGAGAGAGAGACATAAGAAATTTAGAGAAAAAAATATTTTCTGATCTTGGATTTTTGTGTGTATGTATGTGTGTGATTATGGTACTAATAGGAATAACATTGAACCATTGTGAGTTAAACCCACATCTGGGGATGAAATCCCACATCCTCCTAAGTGACTGGTCTGGAAGCAACCTTGACCTTGACTTTGCACTTCAAATGACAACCAAGATAGGGCTCAGAAATTATATTTTTAAATTTCTAATATGATTATTGGATGGATTGGGCGGCCCTGTGTAATAGAGGTGTGCACGTATAACATGGAAGCTACTAGCAAACTGTTCCCAGATGTCCCTTCTTCCTGATCAGTTGGTTCCACTAATGTTTGCTACTTAATGATTTCTGTTTGTTTTTCCTATTGATAACTTTGAGCAAAACAATCATTGTTTTCCTTGAATATATTTGGCCATTTTCCAGGAACACAGAATTAGCTTATTTCTTCAACATTCCATCCTTTCCTGATCAGGAAATGGAACTGATGATTTTATAAGGTATTTTTCATCTCTCCATGAAATGAGGCGGAGGCCATTTGCATTTCACAATTGTGGGCCATGTGCATCCCATACCATAAAGAGCAGGATTTGATTAAAAGTCATTGCAGCCCAACAAAATGGAGCCGGGCTGAACCTAGTGAGCGTCGCTACGACTCTTCACTCGCTGTAAGAGGAATCCACTGAAGGCCAATTTTTGGTTCCAGCAGAGTATGTGCATAGAGCGACAACTGATGGTGACAGAACCGCTTGTTTAGATTTTGCCAACCAAATGCCACGACAGTTATAGGGCTTGTACAAATAAACGCAAAATCATTTAAAGTCAATTGCCATTATTTGTGCTGAGGCATCAGACAGTAAATACTCCAACCAGGAGCTTGGATGTGCTATGGTTTTCACTCCAGTCATCATTTTGCTATCTCACCCCTCAAACCTGACCCAAAAGTTTGATTTTTACATATAAATAAGAAAAAGAATCCTTTTTATTTTTCTCTCTCTCAAAAGACTTGCTCTGGGGTTTTGCTTGGAGGAGCTGATCATATCTTGCATGTCAGAGATTTTGTTTTGTTTTTCTGTTTGTTTTTGATGACTGTATTTTCATTTGAACTGCCTCTTTTTGCTAGTGTTGTAATGATGATGATGATAAAATAATAATAATAATAATAGTAATAATAATAATAATGGTCAGCTGTTCCCAGATTAGTAAGTTATGTATAATTTATTTCTCCCTCTCTATTTTATTCTCCTCTGATTTGGAAGTACAGCCAATAAGCTGTTAGATATTTAAAACAAATTCCCATCTTCCAACTCATTTATATATATATATATTTATACACACACACACACACACACACACACACATTCACCCACACAATTTTACTTCTCCTTCAGTACATTTTCTCCTTTTTAAAAATTTGGCCCCAACAACGTCAAGTACTGGTGTTTCATACAAAGGAGTGAATAGGAGGGTCGTGTTCAATCTTAATTAACTTATGCTCTCATCACTCATTTTAGTTATGTAATTGCCACAGTCATCTAGAGCCATTTTTTTGTTTTTGTTTTTGTTTGTTGTTTTTAAGCACTCTGGATAAGGAAAAAAATAGACACTCGTTTTATATCGTTATGTACAATGTGAAAACAGATTTTTAAAAATTTGTTCTTCGTCTTTGTTAACAAATTCTTATGTGGGTTCACCTCTCACGTTTGCTGGATACTTATTTTACACCACGTTATAAAGATGCTTTGTTTTCATTTCATTACTTTGGGCTACAAGAATACTTTGTTTTAGCTCCAGGTAGATGCCACTGAGGGCAATCACAGCTGAAACCAATTCTAACATACTTACCAGTGAGTTGACAAAACACTTCTGTGTGGTCTTTTTTGTTCGTTTTTTATTCTGTTTTATTTGAAGGGGAAAATGAAATTGTTAATGGTGACCTTTAACTGCTGAAATTCAGAAGTTAATTTTATTTAGTTAGGTTTATGTCAGAGAGACTACACCATGGTGGACTAAAACAGGAAGTCCAGAGCCTTGTGTTCTGTTCTCTTGTTCTGACATAGGATTCGCTGGCTGTCGCAATTTCTTTGCCTTGGTTTTCCCCAAAAGAAAACGAAAAAAAATTATGTTGATGTTTAAAGTGCTTGGATGTCCTTTGATAAAAGGTGCTATGAATAGCAACTTACTGTGTTAACACATTGCCTTTTTGGCATTTGATTGGTTTATCATTTTTATAAAGGATCCTAAAACCTTGTATTCTTTTTCTGTGCCCCATGATGATCAAAAAAGCTAAAGTTGAGGAAATGAGAGGAAGATCAAACTGAAATGAAGCTAACATTTCCCTACTCTATCCTTTCCTACCTCCCCGTTCATATATCCCCTCTCATTCTCCCTCTCTCTTGCTCCCTTTCTCTCTCCCTCTCTCTCACACACACAAACGCATACACGCATGCATACACACACACACACACACACGCACACATGCACACACTCACCCCAGTACTGAGGAATAATCTTGCCTGAATTCTGATTTATGGCTATTGTGATCAATTCATCTAAAAATAGTCATGTTATAAAATGAATCTAAGAGAATATCACTGGAGAAAATAGGTTCAAGTTGCTCATTTACAAGATACTACTAATTTGGCTGGTTACTTGGATAAAATACAAATACTTTGGCTTGGCAATTGGATAAAATACAAAACTGTTCTTCAGTACATTTGTACCTAAATTACTTAAGTCAATTTTTTACATTTATTTGGCATCTGCATTTAAAAGTTAACCATATATAAAATCCCTCCCAAAGATCATAACTATTATTGAAACCAAACCCTCTTATAAGGAACAAATATAAAAGAGTTGTCTTTGATGAAATTATTTCATAGATTTGATTTTGGAGTAGACTTTTACCTTAATTCATTTAAAGAAAGTTATCTTTAACTATTTTGTGGTCCCAATTTCAGATATTTTCTTAATCCAGAAGTTGTTACTGTTTCCAGAAGAAATCTCTTATATCACATTTAAAACATCAAAAGTAATTACATTTTCATTCATTCTAATGGGTAAATTATTGAATTGTAATAAACAACTGTATATTTGCAAACAGGTTTATAAAATATTTGTCTATCAAGTTAATAGTAAAATAAAAATTATGGGGTCTGCAAGGAAAATTATGAAGCCCACTTAAAGTGGTTCAGATATCTCTTTGTCGTATAAGGCATAAGTTTTTGTTTAGACAGGCTTTTACAGTATTTAATTTTAAAGTTTCCTATAACTATCAGTTTCCCAAGTTGAAGATGATGTTGTGTTAAGTTTTCTACTGATTGATTCCTGTTCTCCCCAGTGTGTCTGTCACTGGTTCACTAAAACAGTATTTATACAGCTCCACTGGCTCTAAAGCTCTTAGTCCGTCTAACATTTTGGATTTTATGAGTAAAAATGGGGAAAAAAAGTAGAAAAGAGACAATCAAATGCCTGGAGCTTAAAACAAAGTATGTGCAACCTACCATCTCACTTGAAATTTAATAAAATAAATAATTATGTAAATATAACATAGAGTTATAGATTTATATTTTGTTCATAACACATAGTGTAATATAAGTTGTATATTTTCATGTTTTTGGTTTTATGTTACCATTCATGCCACAATAAAAACAGGAGTTTATGTACTCTTAAAAAAAAAGATGTGGGTTGCCACCAACCTGTTTTTTTTTTGTTTGTTTTTTGTTTTTTTGTTTTTGCATTCTTTTTTTCAGTATTACTGCCATGCAAGGCACCAATAAAAACAGCAAATGTGTTCTTTACCTATTATACTGTGTTTCTTTTCACAATTCTTGTTATGAGGGTATAATCTTTAATTATGAAAAGAGTAAAAGTATGGAAAGCCATTTAGTTTTCAATATAAATTACCCCCACTTCCTGAAGTTGACTTTGAACTGAGAGCTCAGGGTTTAGTCCTTCATGGTGGGCATTGCAAGAAGGACCCCTGGACCTTTTTATAAGGCATCCCTTCCTAG